AAAGTGTGACGTATTTATGACGTCACGTGTGCCTGCAGAATGTTTCGAAGTATCTAGTAGACCGCGCTAGAAATGTTGCGCTTGGAGCATTTGCAACGTTATAAACAGGCCGAAGTAACGCCAATAACACTCGAGAATCTCAGCTATAAACAGCAGTTGTTTTATTCTTCAAAAAGATCACGTGCCCGCTTACGAGTTAACGTCCGCGTTTAACGTCCACGAGTGCGAGTTAAGAGATGAAGATGCCCGACGGATCGAGACAAACGTGTCGAGAATTAAGCGTAGAACGAGGGCGGAGGTGGCGCGCGTTTCATCGCACCGAAGGTGTTCAGGTTTGCGACGAGAAACGCGGGGAAGGTCGAAAAAAATGACAAGAAGTGAAGCGCGCGCGCGCACGCGCGTGGTAAACCCGTAATAATTTTATGGAAATCAGGCGTCGCGCGCTAGCAGCGGTACGTGCCACGCAGACGACGGCAAGCGCTTACGGTAGGAGAGAAGAATGAACGAGGACCGAGGCATCGTGCAACGGCATATAGTTACAAGTATATTATGGTACCTCGGCTTAAACTGGATTTCGAACGCGCGCGAGCGTTATCGTCCCGACACACTGTGATTGTTGGGGAAGTCCGCGTATATACGCACCGTCGAGGCACGTACGGTATTCAGCTTAAGGACACGATGCCACCTGTACCTAATCCCAGTTTTGAATAACCGCGCCATTGTCGCCAGTTTTGCGAACGATCTCTCCTAGCGGAGGAATGGCAGGAAGGACAAATTCTACCGAGAAATTAATAGAAAGAAAGGAGTGATTGTTTCTTTCCAAGTGCAGAGATATGGCCGCGTGAGGAAATAACGTTCGTGTATTCTGCACGGAAACAAGAAATTAGCTGACCTTATAATACAAATTTGAAATTTAAGTTACCAGATTTAGTTTCTAGCTTAGTGGGAGCTGAACATTTTCCATTTTATTATGTGGACAGCTACTTTTTAGCTGTGGGAGCTACTTCTTTTATTCCGTGTGCAAAAAGGGAAAAGGCGTCTTATTGGGAAAAGAGAAGAGACGAACCTTTTTTTTTTTCAGATCGCACTTAGATCGCCACGGGGAGAAAACAGCATTCGCGTATTTCCGTATTTCCGGACGAGCAGGCAAAAAGTGGCGTTTGTTAATTCTCGGTCGGGAAGAATATTTCTCACGGCGAATAACGCGAGAGATACGCGGCGAATATACAGCGGTGGCTTATCAATAGCGGGGCGATTTTTATTAGCACTCCGCCACATGAACGTAATACAATATCTTTTTTCGCGGATTAGGAATATTGCCGAACACAATGTGTAATATTTTTTAACATATCGTGAACGTAGGAAATGGAATATCCCGTGTGCGGCATAGAGCGCGCGTTACGATATCACGCGGGGATCGGTCTATCTTCGCAAACCCCGCGACTAATCCTCCCCCGGCATACCGTAACCGAAAAACGAATAGAAATAGAAAAAATAAACTCGGCGTTCGCATATACGGGCGTTCCAATATGCCGACGCACACCGGGACAGCTTCGCGAAACACGTTACAAATTTTGATTGAATAAACGTTGGATCGTTTCGCTTTCCGCACGCTGATTTTTGTGGAATTAAATGACGAATGCAGCGGCCGCGGAAAGATACGCGCGGGGGCTCGCGCAAAGACAATCTATATGTTGTTGGAACGGATACAGGAGATGAAATAAACCAGCACGCTGCTCCGCCTCCCGCATCATCCCACGTAAAAGCCCCAAGAGCTTTATCGTGCGGTGTATGCCCGCCTAGATCATAACATTAACGAAATTAGAGCAACTGCCCGAGAGCTGTTCTTTCCTACGCCGCTCACTTTGTACACGATCGCGTTCGCGTCATTTCTCTCTTATTCATTCGTTTATCCGTTTATTTCGTTCGGTTGAAAACCGGAATGCGTCAGCGGCATCGAACACCGATTGTTCACGGCGCAAATGGAGCTCATTTTTCAGCTGGTTTATGAATCCCGGTTGATTTTTTTACGACCCCTCGTCGCCCGGACGAATTACGGACCTTGCTTGGATCACACTCGAGCGATGTAGACTCTATTTATTGGGCTGTCACGTTTACCAACTGCTCTCCGCCGTTGGTTTGTGTGTGTGTCAGCTTATCTTTCCAGCAAATTTAAATATCCACAAGTCCGTGAGAGAGGGAGGCCGGGAGACGCTGGAAGACCGGCGATTCCCTTTTGTTGGCCTGTCTGCGTACCGAAAGTTCTTTTTAGTCGAATCATCCCACACTTCAGGAACTCATCGCCCCGTGAGATCATTGAATCTGAGTCCGCTGGTACACCTAACAGACGCTCTGCCTCGTATCTGCTCGTTTTATTCATATTCTTTTTACATTATTACTTTCTGTCTTCCTTCCACTCTTTTTTATCATTTTCATGTTAGCTCTTCATTGTATTATTCTATTTTACTAATCTATTTTGTATTATTTTTGTATTATATTATTCTATTTTAACGCACTTATATTCTCTCTAAATTTCTTCGAGTGAAATTTCACTCGATAAGTAAAGTGACAGTGTCACTTAAATATGATTTTTCTGTTTTATACGGCGAATTTGGCATTTCGAATCAATAAATGAACATGTATTTTCGTTTGAAATTGAGAAATGAATGTGATGTATTTCATCATTATTGAATAGAATCGCTGTAATTGATTGAAACATTTTCTCGTATATGGGTTGAAAGTTCGCTTTACGGCTTGAGTTAAATATTCATTCTTGTGATTCCGCAAATAACAGCAATTTGCGCTATCGCTTGGGAAGAATCGTCACTCCTTTTGCGTGAGACTTCACTTCAAGAAATTTTAAAAAGTATGTATCGTACTTATGTGTGCTCTTAGAGGAAAGCACTCCGTCCCTGAATTAAATAAATTATTATACCGCTGCGACTACTGTCTCGGAGATATACGTCCGGCACTTTTGTTGCGAAATCAAACGCGTAAATCACTTCTTTCCGTCGTCCCTAAAAATTCGCCATGGCGGCACACTTTTTTCTAACAATTGCAGATTAATTTTTTCACCATCCACCTTTGTCACCGGCCGTCGCGATATACTGCCCGCAGTAAGGATATTTCATTTTGATGCGCTTTGTTATTTGCGTTTCTCTGTCTCTCGAGTTTATTCGCGAGCAACGCTAACATCATCAGCATGTCTGCGTGCCCGAGCCCAGAATGAATCGCGAGAGTCTTTATTTGAACATCACCCCTTCATTTGTCCGTCGTCACAATTTACTGATTGGACGATATTCTCTATTCTCCGCTGCCTTTGCTATTACAGCCCGAATTAACCCGGCGAGTATGAAGTTTCGCATTAAAAATTCGCATCCACAATGAAGAATCTCGTTTCGACGCGCCGCGCCGAGACTGTTGTGTATAATACCACAGAACCGTTTACACGTGTAAATACTCCTATAGCGGCGAGCGCGTTACGAGTGTTACGCGGCATTTTTTAGTAACTCGTTAGGAAACTAATTTAACTTCGCGGTAGCTTTTAGTGTGAGCTATATCGGCTTTATGCGACACAGTCGACGCAAGAATAGCGCGGCGTCCATCTTTGTTTTAAAGCGCGCTGACAAAAGCGAACCGCTTTCCGGGGGATGTCGGTATAGGTGGAAGTTATGGCTGAAAAGAGGAGATCGTCGTATGCGCAAAAACACAAAGTCGTGGACACAAAATAACACTGACAAATTTCTTGCGAAATAACAAAGCTGATCCCAATTTTTACAATTAACTTTTCCCGTAAACGCGAATCACTTCAGCTGATCTCGTTTTATACACGGGGTGTCCCAGACCTCAATCCAGACAATGGATTAAGGTGAACAAAAAATTCTCTACCATGGTAGAGGGCTTATTTGTTCACCTCTCAATAATCCGTTTTACGCTCTCACGAGATTTGTCCCTGTTGATTTGGGACACCCTGTATATTCGAATATTCGACGTCATATTTTTAAATCATGCTGCAATAGTCGAATTTAAAAGCTCGGCAACGAATGACAAAAGCTCGAAGATCATTCGGACTTGGAGCAAAAGTACCAGGTACAGCTGATTTTACGATTGTCGAAAACGCTTTTCCCGCGTATAGAAAAAATTATGTGCCGTACTTTAGGGCTTCCCGTCGCGTTACGGTTTTCACTCCGTATGTTGCGTACACTCCGTTTTACTACTTGTTTGTATCGGTTCTGCGTACACACACCTGTATACTCGTTTCATCTCTCGTGTTATGCGTATCGTCATGATTCGCGTATCGACTCCAAGTGACGCGAAATATTTTGCCGCGATGCGCGATAACCGGATAGAGGTACGTACTCTTTTTCGACACAGCAGAAAATCAATACCTTGCGGCAGGAAATTGAATTTAGACGAGTAAACAGGGCCAGCGGCGTATTATTGTGCATGTGGATATAGCGTACGCGTGTATGTGCGTGTGTGTGTTTAAAAATGATCATCGACCTGTGAGTTCTTCTTGATCGAAAATTCCGGCACGATTGCTTCCGATCGTGGTTTCCGAAGAGAGGAAAAGCGTTAAATATGCAAGATCGGCGAGAAAAATCGCAAGATTCGTCTGGATCGCGCGCGCGAGAATATCGACGGCGCCGACGTTTTTCTTATTCAAATCCTGCGAGACCTGCCCTCACTAAGAGATTTAATCATCTCCGCGTATATTTTTGACTCAAACCAGAAAATTATCGGAAATCCCGCGAGCGGGTCTTTCCAATTTTCTCCGATAGTGGCAGTTATGGGGATTCCCTCGTACGATGTTTAAGTAAGGGAAGGAAGTTACATGCACGATGCCTGCAAATCCCCCCCCCCCCCCCTTCCTCCCCCTCGCCCTGCTATTTTGCATAATGTCAGTGTCGGCGCGGCGTATTGTGCGGTCGGGTTAATTTAAGCGTGAAAATCAAATTTCCGGGATAATCTTATCCGCCCGCTCTCACTCATTCCCTCACCTTCTTCGTCGCTGCCGATCATGGCGTATCGCTCGTATCCGGTGAGATTCCTAACTGCTCCCAAGCCGAAGTCGTCCTTAGTCCATTGAATGGGCCCCTTCTGATCGAGAACCCGGCATGGAAGCGTCACCCGGCTGCCAACCACCGCAGTTTGATCCATCGGTTCGATGGCGAATCGCTGATAAACTACTTCCGTCGTTGTAAACGGCTTCACCGTCGACGCTATGAACGATGCGTTCGTCATGTTCGTAGCCGCCACTGTCTTCGTTCCCGTCGCCATCAGCAGCGACAGGCAAATTATGAACGGCGCCGTTCTTCGTCCAATTTTTCTACTCGCGTTCCTGCAACGCACAGACAAGTACATTCGATTAGAATGGATCACGAGACGTCAATTATTTCCGATGCGAGGACAAATCACGAATTATAAATGTTACGATATTCTTGCTAGGAGAAAAAGATGACGAAGGGGAACCCGATTCGAGAGAATTTTACCGCGCAACGAACGCGAATTTCTCGAGGCTACTTTTTGTACGGGTCGCGTCGCAGCCGAAACCAGATGCGAAAAATATCGGTCCTCTTTACTCGACTTTTCAGCTCTCTCTCTCTCTTTCTCGTGCCTTAGACTTATTTAACGATCCTCTAGGCCGTAATGCGGTTTCTTGCCCATTTACTTCGACGTCTTACTTAATTTATCTTTATGGTCCCATCGGATTCAAAAACGAAGTCAGAGGGTAAGGAGTCGGCGTCGTAAAAGAGGCGATAAAAGTATTGCCAGCGCGGCAATTTAGTATTGGCGAGGAAGAGTGCATTATACACACACACATACACACACACACACACGCGTGTTACGTGTATGCGTACATATAGTAGGCGTGCAGGTATGTGCATGCCAAGAGCATACACGTGGATTCGCCGTTATGAGAGGAAAGCTTTTTTTCTCTCCTCCTTTTCTTTTACGACAGCGATGTAGTTTTGTCGTTGCGGCGAAAATATACTGCATCTTAACAATTATCGCGCGGGACGTTTTACGAGTATTAAAGGGGCCCGATCGTATCGGAAGTGAGAGAGGAACGTTCGTGATCTTTATTCGCGGTTAAATAATTGAGGAATTCGCTCATAGTCGGTGCCGTCAACCAACGCTCCTTTTCCATTACCGTTTCTCTCTCACGCGAATCGATCGCCGCGCGCTTTTTAACGGAATTCTTCTCGTTCCGCGGCTCTCATTCGGCGACGGTGTAAGAGGATTAAAAAAAGCTGATTAACTTGTCAACCTAAACATCGGTGCCTGCGACTTAACGCTAATTTATAATTCAAGGTATATATATGCAATAAATATGCTCCGCGTGCGCTTGTTTACTATGTGTTTCGATGCATTTTGTTTCCCGCTGCGATTTATGTGCGCGAGCGGCCGCTCTATCGAACGTTTTATCGAACGCAAAACGAGTGTTTGTGCGTGTCCGTCGGCCGGCCATAACTAACGCCGAGAACACTTTCGACGTTCACGCAAGTCGCCGCCGATAGATTCAACGCTCAATTATTGAGAGTGCACGAGCGTTCAAGGGTATGCATTCGTTAACGCGACTATTAACCCTTATTATTATTCAACAAAATCGTGCGCACCAATCAGCCGAACAACCTCTCTCAATCGACCTCTCTCCGAATCGACCGCGTATAATTAATTAACGTCATGCCTCTTATATTCGTATCATCTACGATCTGTCTTTTAATAACGGGAACGGACGCGAGACGATGCTTCGTTTCTATTCTCCTCTCCCTCTCTCTTTCTTCGTCCCCGCCCCCGGCCCCTCTCTCGCTCTTTCTTCTTATTCACCCTTCGCTACGTCTCCGTGCCGCTACTCCGTCATCTATCTACGTTTCCTCCGGCCGCCGTTCTTATTCGTCGCCAGTGAAATGATCGATAGAACTGAAAATCGCTCGAGGAGAGATTCTTGAGAACGATGTATCGTTCTCGTATGTCTTGTCGAGCTCGCGGTCCTCGCACAGACGCGGCGCCTCTACGTCGCTCTCCGTTATCATCGAAGTCGTACATTATACTTGGCTGCGCCTTGCTCTCTCTCTCCTTCTTTCCCGCCCCCTTGTCTTTTTGACTCTCTCTCTCTCTCTCTATCTATCTATCTATCTCTATCTATCTCTCTATCCGCCGCGTGTTGTTTCTCGGAGAAGCGAAGTTCGACCGTATGGTCTACGAGCTAAGCGTTTCTTGTCGCGCCATGTTCCGTTGGTTAGCAGATAGAGGATGTCGTAAGACGCGCTCGTACGACATCGCGCGCGGGCTGCTTCTTACGAGCTCAATAGGATAATAACCCCCGGCAGTCGCTGCCGCCCAGAATGCTTTGAATGGAATATACGAGTAACGAGCGTAATAATAATTGCGCTTGTGCCGCGTATTTGGGCCGACCTCGCCGCCGCCTGCCTCTTCCGCTCGTCTCGCGCCGCCGCGGCGACGACGGAGAAGGAGGATGCGTCTCGACGCGGTGCGTTACAACGCGTGGAACAATTTCGCGACCATAAGCGGTCTCACAAAGCGCGCTTCTTGACGCTCGTTAAGCCTTTCTTCCGTCCTTCGATGGATGCGAACAATATTAGTATTTCCTCTCTCTCTGTGCTCTTCTTGTGAACGTTACGAGGAGGAGCAACGTCGTCGTCGTTGTCAACGCGCGATAACATCGATGTTCTCGATAAAATCATCGTTTTTCACCGTGTCTCATCGGTCTTGGGTATCATACGCGTGATGAAAGGAAAGAATGGGGAGAAGGGGGTTCGGGGTGGATGGATTTCCGCGTTCTCTTTGGCGTATAATTCGCACGGGAGTTAAAATAAATCCGTATCGAATGCAATTTACTCATTTACTTGGAAAACATTTATCATATTCCGTGACGTCCATGACAAGGCACGCCACGAGCTTACGAAACGGAATTGGGTCATGTCGGAATTGGATGGGATACGTCCCAGGCGGTTTTACCACAGTGATTTTACATGTACAACGTATATCACGAAAATGTCGCACGCCCTCGCGCGCGCGCGCGCGTGCGAGCGCGTAACGTCAATGGCCTCTATCACGCCCATTTGCTTTTTATCATTCGCGAGAGAGGAGGAGATCGAGTGAAAGCGAGAAAGAGAGAGAGAGAGAATGTCGAAATTTCCGGGCGAACCCGACTCAAACTAAACGGCCGATGTCGTACGCACACGCGCTAGACATAGATTATGTCGGCTCGATAAAATAGAACACGCCGATAGAAGCGTAAAGCAATCAATTGCGGTGTCGTTCGAGCAATTACTAGCGAATGTCGCGATAATCACTAAAGCGTACACACAGCGGCGCGCTCGCCACTGCGTTTAAATTTAAATAAAGTCACTAATCGAGACGGGGCGTCGCGTGGCGGCGGCGCATCGTATCGGTCCGCCTGTCGGACGTCACGTTGCGACGACGGTCGAAATTTTAACGTTCCGAAAACGTAGCCTCTACCACACATACATACACACACACACACACAGTCTCTCTCTCTCTCTCGCTTTTTCTCTTTCTCCTTCTTTCTCTTTCTCTTCCTCGCTATGTTACGCTCGGCACATCACGTCGCGTCGAATCGATCGGTGGTCGATTTGACCTTCGAAATCAATTTTTCATTATGTTACTACTCATTATTCCGTTCGCTCCGTCCGTGGTATTCAATTTTTCCTCAATCGCAGCGCGAGCTTGGTATTTACGCGGGGAACGCCTTTCCCGAAAGGTTACGTTATGTAGAAGTAGACATCGCGACGGTAACTACATACGTAGATGCTGATAACGCACGCTATAAAGAGAAAGATGGATAGAGGGGGAGAGAGAGAGAGAGAGAGAGAGATGAATACGAAGCACTCTCTGTTTCTCGTATTTGTAACCATTTATTGATCGTCGTATAAGTATAATAGGTGCTCAACCGGCAATTTCCGATATTTCAGTTTCAACACACGAGCGGCACGCTTATCAAATTCACTGTCGAGAATCCGATTACATAAATTACTGTTTCGTTATAAATAATGAACCTCCCCAACTAACCAGTCGCGTTAAAAGCGAGGAGGTAAAAATAGATTGCGTATTTTGCTCCCATTCATTCTCAATGACAAATAAAAAAAAATGAGTACATATAGTAAGTATTTTTCATAGCGATTAAATATACGACAATGGAGAATTCCATACATACATAGACATATATATACATATATATTGCATCGTTTGTCGATCCGCCATCGTCAACCGCGCCGCAATACATCGCGATATTGCCGAACAACATTTTCTCGTGAGCGTTGCACATAGTATTTCCGTCAACGCTACTTTGAATTTCTCCAGTAAAGAGAAGAGGAGCCAAAGCGAGGGCCTGGCGGGTAATCCGCCGCCTATACATGTCCCTCGAAAGGATCTCTCTCGCTCGAGCGTGGAAGACTCGCGCCGAAGCTCAACGGCGCAACGTCACCGATCAATTTGTCATGGGATGACCCAGTATCAAAGATACGAGTCCCCTGGGTCAGTGTAACGTGTTTCTGGGAACGTTGACACATGCACAGACACACAGCGCAGTATGTACACATATGCAAACACACGATGCACACGGCGGCGACATATACACGCCGCGCGACGTGTGTGCTTGTTCGGTCGCACGACTATCTAAATATAGCCCTACGCCCGTGTACACACGAATATGGGATGTATTCACTGGTTATCGCGATTTTCGATACTCCCGACAAAGTCGGAAAATATTTCGTCACGCTGCAGCTGACACCGCGCCGGATAAGAGTGATGAGGGTGCCGCGGAATCAAGAATGCGGGAATCAATTTTCTACATCCGCTCCATTTACCCGCGTTGTATTTCAGGAACTTGTGTATGTGTGTGAGGGAAGTCTGTTTCTTTCTCTCTTTCTCTCTCTTATTTATTTTTTTCTCTTCCGGTCTAATATCATCCGGATGACGAGGTCTGGCGGAAAATTATTTTTCCTACCCGCATGTGTGTACGCACTCCGATGCGTGCGCGCCCGATGCGGTTTTTTCCCCCCCATTCGGTAATCGTGCGAGCAACATCGCTAACGTTCTCTTGGTGCAACGCAAAAAACGACAAAGGGATAAGCACAAGTTAAATACCCTTCACATTCTGCCGCTTTTCACATCCCATGCCGTTTAAATTCGAAAAAGCTGACAATTTGATCATTTTATCCGTAACACTGAAACATCATTGAACGACTCTTTCATTTTATTGGATTGCCATTTTGCTATACGACATTCTCACATTTTGAACGCCATGCGACGGATTTGCGGAATGGAATCGGATTTGTAACCGCGGTATGCTTT